GAGAAGAAGCCCTCTCTGTCTCAATCTGTCAGCCTTCAGCCTTCAAACAGCTGGAGGAACAACGGGACAGCAGCACTTCTGTAAACAAGCTAATCTTTTTACAGCTAATAGGCAGTGGCATTCTCATTTAAAACGTCAACCTTGGAAAACACCAACTCTCACTAGAAAAGCCTGTCTTTCCCTTGCTCTTACCCTGGCCAAGTTCTTGGCTTTCTAACTGTTCCTCAGGTGGGACCACAGGACAACAGCTGCCTGGGCTGAGGACAGGCCATTTCCTGGCTTTTCTTCCTGCTTCTGACCTGAGCTCAATTCAAAGAGAATAAACCAATTCTCATAGCTTTAGCCAAAGGTAGGGCAAGCAACAGGATATGTAGGCGCAGCAGATATACATGAAGATGGCAAAGGTGCCACAGAGGTTGGGGCAGGAGGAGGGATTCTGGCCCAATGCAGAGTCCCATTGTTTGTAATAAGAAAGGGGGCAAATCAAGTGCCAGGTATCGGTTGTCCAGATTATTGACACTGTAAGATGACTCCCTCAGTAAAGAAGCCTAGGGAGCAATAAACCCTACTTCCTCTCTACTACCCTTATGCCCATCTTTTCCCTTCTCTTCTCTACCAGGTAAGAATGTGGCCAAGAGAGAAAACTCAGTGTCACTGGTGTATATTCCTGATACTCTAGGTACCCAGGGAAGGATCCTTGATGTCTGCAAAATCCACGAGATGAAAAGTCCTTAAGATTGGCAAAACAGCAGAGTGGTTTCTGAATTTAGTATTTAGGGGTTAACCAAACAAAAAATGCACAAGATCTGTAGGCAGAGAACTAAAACTCTAATAAATGACAAAGGTGGTCTGAATAAATGGAAAGCATTCCACGCTCTTAGAGAAGGTAAGTTAATATGAAAGTGTTGATATCCCCAAATTAATCAATGTTGCTCAATGCAATCCCAAATGAAAATGTTAAGTTTCTCAGGAACTTATCACATATATTCCAGAATTTATATAGAAGGATAAAGTTCCACAAGTAGCTAAGCCAACCCTTAAATGGAGAGTTAAGACCGGAGATTTAAACTATCAGATATTAAGTCCGGCCTCAGAGTCATCCTATTAAAAAAGAGAGGTCTGAGCACAAGAACAAATATACCAAGGAGATAAAGAGCTGAAAGCTCATAACAGAGCTCACATAAGCAAACCTAATGTATAAGAAAGCTGGCAGCAGAGGTCAAAGGGGGAGAGAATGCAGTTTATAGATATTGGTGGAAAAATGGACTCCTCATATAGACAAAAAACAAAACTGGATCTTCATGAAACACCATATATGATGGTAGAGATCAGATTAGAAGCTCAAATGTGAAAAATAAAATCATGAAGCCAATAAAAGAAAATGTAGGTGCACATCTTGGTGACATGGGTCAAAAAGGCCTTCTTTAAAACACAACTTGGAAATCATAAACCAGAATGCAAAAAAAAAAAAAAAAAAGGAGATGAATTTGAATATTAAAAGAGTAAGGTTTTATACTCAAGGTAGGATATCACACATAATATTAACAGACAGATGATAAGATAGGAAGAAATATTTAAAATATCTTAGAAGCCATCCGTATTCCTCTGTCTGCTTAAAAATGTCTACACCTACCAAGGGATTGATATCTAGAATAAAGAAAGAATTTCACAAATCAACAAGAAAAATTGGTACCTGCCATATAAAATGGGCAAAGAACATAACCAGGCAAAAAACAGAAGAGGAAACCCAGTAAACAGGCAAATACAGGGATGCTCAAGCTCACTAGTTATCAGAGAAATGAGCTAAATAAACTGAAACAATGAGCTATCATTTTCTAAGACTGACAAAAAAAATTATTCAGGTAGCTGAATAATGGCAAGAGCTGGCAGGAATGGAGAAATCCTCAAGGAGGGTGGGTGGGACTATGAACCAACTGCTCTGGAGAAGGACATGAGAGTCCTCCCTAAAACTCTGTTTATGCACCCCTTTAACAGACCAGAAATTCTCATGCATATAACCCAAAGAAGTGCCACACAGGGAAACAGGTAAGAGATGTTGGTGTCGTTAGCAGTGATGAGGAGTTGGAAGCATGAGGAGGTGGAGGACATCTCTGCAGAAACAGATGACAGAGTCCTACACCATGGAGGGTGCAGCAGATAGAAGCCAGGCTCTAGAAGCAGACAGAGGAATATGGATGGCTTCTAAGACCATGCTGAGGGAGTAAAGTAAACTGATCAATACATATAACCACTTGTGTCACTTAAAAACACAGGTAGATAAAAAAATATATACACATTGTCTGAGAATACATATTAAAAGAACACATTAGAATGGCAGCCTATAGGAGAGGAAAAGAATATGAATTGAGAAAAGAATGAAAATGAATGGAGGGCCCTGTGATGATAATGTGCCACCAACGGAGGAGTATGTTTAATTCAATCTCTCTATACCTGAGATCAAAACAGAGAATAGAAAGGAGAGGATAAAGGCTCTGCACATATATTTATCTGCTGCCATTCACTCTCTGGCAACTGGGCTATTTGGAAAATACCAGCAGTTGACAGACATTATTTATGGCCATGTCTTATAACCCATGGGTGCTGTAGACCCTGAGAGGAATTTCAAAATGAAAAATAAAAACAAATTCAGAAGTGTCCCAGAGAAATTTCCTTTTGCTACCTGCCCATTCTGGGTCTGTGATAAAATGCTGGAATTCAAATTCCCACCAAAACATTTTTTAGAAAGAGAATGCTAGACATTTGAAGTTTGGTTACTGAAGGTAAAAAGAGCAATATCTCACTCTTAAATTTATATCAGATTGACTTCTTAACTTGAAAATAGTTTTCATTGTGGTATAGACAGAAAAAGAATTGCAGAATTCAGACCCTGGGAAAGGAGCACTAAAGGTTGGTGTAGGGTAAAAATGCAAATTACTGCAATGGTAGAATGAGCTGATAATGCTAACCAATGGAATCAGGGTCATCTTTCAAATCTATTAGTATCTATCTGAAGCAGAGAGAAGCAAGTTCTTAAGACCATAGTTACAAGGAAACTTCAGGTTGGGGGTCTCCATTTCTATGCTTCTCACCCCCCTCAATTCTTGGGTCCTTATAAGGAGTATGTCTCAGGGATATGGTATGGTCATCTGTTACTTTGGCTTGCTTGTTACTTGGCTCTCTTGTCCTAGTGGGTTCCCTGATTTCCCTCTGGCAAACAACTCTGCTCCCATTTATGCAGAAACAGTCAATCAAGGTGTCTTGTTTTCCCCTGGCTGGACCCAAGCTAGACAAACTTGATGCTGCCTTTCCTGGGGAATCTGAATTCTCAGAAGAGGCAAGAACCAAAAACAGTTTAGAGTTGTATAATCCTGAAAATATCACTGAGGAGACCCTTTCTCATTAGTTTCTGGGTCCCCAGAGATGGATCCCGGTTCTTCAGTTCTTCCTACTTTACTGTGAGTTACCCTATAGCCTTCCATATTCCTACATGATTATTACTATTGCTCTTGCTATTGTTATTTTGGCCCAAGTTACCCAGAGTTTATTTCAAACATGGTAAAACAATCCCACCTGATAAAGAAGGAAAGAAAAAATGACTTGTTTCCTTGAATATTTACTTGAAAAACTTTTTCCTTGTTCAATTATTGAGGGGAAAAAGGAAACAAAACAAAGAAACATTGTTTCCTGTCCTAAAGGTCTCATCCTACCAAAAGCCACCATTCCAAATTACTTAATATCTCATGTAAAACTCCTGGGAAAGCCCTGGCTGGTGTGGCTCAGTCCATTGGAGCATTGTCCCATCCACTGAAAAGTTACGGTTCAATTCCTGGTCAGGGCACATACCCAGGTTGCAGGTTCCATCCCCAGTAGGAATGCATATGGGAACAGGAGGCAATGTCTCTCTCTCTCTCTCTATCTATCTATCTATCTATCTATCTATCTATCTATCTCTTCCCCCCACTCCCTTCCTCTCTAAAATCAATTTAAAAATTTCTCAGGTGAGGATTAAAAAACAAACAAAAAACTCCTGGTAGAATTTGTTTGTTGGGTTTTTTTGTGGGTTTTTTTTTTTTTTGAAAGAGTGAAAATCTCTGTCCTATAATGGATTTCACACATGCAAAATAGCTCATCCTTTTGTCCACATGGGCAGGTACTGTTTTTACTGATTTTTTCTGACATGACTGAAATTCATGGTAAGGCTACCTTTGGAAAAAAAAATTTTCCCCAAGTAAATTTTACAAAGCAAATCTGAGGCAAGGGGACAGAATTTCCTTTGTACTCTTGTAGCAACCTGGAAGGAATGTTTTTTCTCCTGTGCACCAAGGAGATAATCAGCCAAACACTCTAGCAGCAGCAGTTTTGTTTTAATCTCCTTGTCTTTATAAAGCTGCAGGTGCCCTTGGAAATCATAATTAACCATAGTGCTCAGAGCCAGCAGCAGGGAGAATGTCCTGTATATTCTACGGAGGCTGCCCAGGGCCACTCTCATCAAAGAGGAATATTATTACAGAGCTGGCTATCTCCACTCCTTCTCTCCAGAGGCAACAAAGAACACTACAGGACCACTGAGATAGTTATTGCGTCTCCAGTCCTTTGAGCAAGACAGTGTGGGAGGCAAAGTCAGTTCTGGCTTTCTCATAGGCAGGGTTCTTTGGGAGCTGAGTATGATTGGATTAAGTGACTTTTAAGTGATTGGAGCGAGGGCCTTAAGACGACCTAGGATTAACTGAGATAACTAATGTACATGAAAATGTTCTGTATAGTGTGAAGGGTTATATAATGCAAAGTGTTGTTATAGTCTTGTCAGTCAGGCTCACCGAATATCCTGGAGTCAACCAATGTGTCAGGGTGGAAGCCTGTCAGGCTGCACTGGGTGGGAATGGGCCAGACCCAACATGCCCACAGCACCTCCTGGTGGCTCTTTTCTGGAGTAGCAACTTCTCAAAGCCCAATCCCAACCCCAACCCCAACCACAGAAAATTACCAACCACAGTACTCACTTCCTTCATTCTGATTGTCTTTGTTCGAGTTGTAGACCTGGAAAATAGAAATAAACATTCACTTATGTGCATTTTATACCACTCCACAGGTTCACTGAAAGATACCAATACCTTCCCCCTTTTCCTAGTTTGGGCTGTAAAATAGAAGGCAATTTCTAGCTAGCCCCCAAATATGAATCCTCTCTATAATTATCTAGTTCCCAGGACTTACTTCAATTGTTTTTAAGTGGTTATACATTAATCATCTGTGGAACTTTATTGTTTTTAAAAAATCATATTCTTTCTTTTAAAAACAGCCTGTGTGTATATATAAAGTTAAAAAGGAGAAAACATTTAAAATCAGCTATAAATCATTAAGCATTAACTGTGCACCAGGCAATGTGGTAAGCAATTCACATAAATTACCTCAAATTATCCACAAAACAATTCTGTTGGGTAGGAACTGTTATTACCACTGTTTTACAAATGGAGAATTGAGCGTTAGAGACATTAACTAAGACCTCACAGCTAGTAAGTGGCAAATTCGTGACAAAGATACATTACAAACCATTAAGTGTTAACACTGGGGAAAGAGACCAATCATTTTTTACCTCTTTGCAAATTTGAATTTTATAAGGAAAATATATTACTTTTACAATAGAAACCCCTAAATGATTTACAGGAATCATGAAAGGAAAAGTGCCCCCACATAAAACAGACAGTGACATATTGCAAGAGTTGGGAAATATTTTTTGTAAAGGACCAGACAGAATTAAATATTTTAGGCTCAGTGGGCCAGGAGGCAAAATAAATGATATCATGTAGGTACTTGTGTAACAAGAGAGAAAACAAACTTCCACAAATTGTTTTGTTCACAGAATTCAAAATATAATTTTTTTTTCAAAATGGAGGTATAACATTCCTAGCAGGTAAACATCCCTTTTAGGGGTTTCATGGCTCTCTTTTCATGGCTCAGTTCCTCTAAGAGTTAAATAAATGGTTCTCCAACAAGGGTGGCCATCAGACTCACTTGGACTATGCTGTTGTTGTTTTTTAGGTTTTGATGGCCAGCTTCACCCTATGCTTTTTCACACCTCCAGAATCATAATCACCAGATTTAGGCACTATATCATCTTTCTAAAGCACAGGCTTTATCTTATGTAATAAATGTCAGCATGTCATGTATTGGCAAACTATGGCCCACAGGCCAAATCCAGCTCACCATCTGCTTTTGGATAGCTATGAGCTAACCCTAGTAACTACAGACGAACATTTGCAATTGATTTGATGATAGGAAATACTAACTTTGAACCTTAAGTAAGCTAAGTATTATTCTCCCTCTAAAAAATATTCCATTCTTCTGATTAATAGATCTGTATTTCAAAGACTTCTACTCTTTGGAAAAAATATTCTTTCTGTACTGGGGTAACATGGTTGCCCAGTCTCCCTCAGCAGTACCTGTGAAGATCAATATAAGTGAAGAATTTAGACTAGATCATGCTTTTCAAATTGAACCCCACAGCCCCTGCAGTAGGACTACCAGAAGGGTGGGAGAGAAGCTAAGACTCTAAGTATCCAAATGTCCTCCTTCCCTCGCTTTACTCATGTGACTATCAAATAAGGGGATACTGTCTAGGAAAAGTCTGAAGACTTCTTGAATGTGTAATTTCTAAAGTTACATGTAACTCATTAATTTGTTTATTCATTCATGCATCTAACAAGTATTTATTATGTGCTTATAATGATACAAATGAACATAACAGCTATGACCTCTGCTTCCTGGAACTAGCCTACTAGGGAACTGAACAGAAATAGACAGAAATACAAATATGATATTCAAATATTGATAAGTAGAATGGAGAAAATAAAAGTCTAGTGTGAACCTGAGGTGGGGAAAAGATGACATTTACATGAGACCTGAATTATTATATGAAAGGACCTCCTTGGAAAGACCTGGGGGCCAGTGCCAACCGCAAGTGCAGGTCTTGAGATGGGAAAGGCATGGTCTTTTGGACCGAGGAAGGCCAGTATGGTTGGCAATCACTGTAGTGTAGGAACTAAGAATGGGCAGAGGGGCAGTGATGCAATCTCATAGGCTTTGTGACTTGTCAGGGAAATGAGAGGCCTCATAATAGCTAAGATCAGTGATCCATAGTGGATGGCATTCACTAACCTTGGGAAGTTGGGTAAGGGAACTGCAAGGAAAGAGACCATATTTTGGAAAGTTTTGGTGTGTGTTTTTCCAGCCCTCCCTCCCATTAAATTCAAACATTTTATCCCAGAGACACTTGCTCCTGTTTATAAATAGCAAAATCCAGAAGAAATAGCAAAATGCAAGGCTTTCAGCCCTCCTTAATTAGGAGGTGATTTTGCACCAAACAGGTTTCCTGGTCTTAGGAGATCACTGTCTGGAACAACCAAGCACTACCCAAAGTGGAGAGGTGTGATCAATGAGCCAAAGGCACCAGAAACATGTGCTGCCTGATCCTCTGAGGCCAGGCCATTAATCTCTGTCTAGTTTAGTAAATGAGCCAAAGAGAATGAGTTCTGAAATGAAGCTAATAAACCATGCCCGCCAGGAGTGTGTGACTACATGGCCCAACCAGGAAGGCCCGGGGTCTGGGAGGAGCCTTGCCCTCACAAAGGCCAGATAAAGGCAAGGTAAGAGGGTTGTATCCTCTTATCTCGAGGAAAGTGATGAGGGTAAGGAAAGCTTTCATATGCTTCCTATGCCCTAAAAAAACTAACCGCGTTAACAGGGGATGTCTTTATTACTCAACATTTACCAAGTACCACATATGACATCATCTAATCCTTGAAACCACCTTATGAGTTAGGTACTAGTGCTATTCCCAGTCTATAAATGTGGATGGACCTTGAGGCCCAGAGAAGTTACAGTTTGTCCAAGGACACAGAACTGGGACGTGGCACACTATTCTATCTTGTCTCGATAGGGATACTCCAGTCTTATTTTAATTCCCAGGCAGTTGCAAATGCTCACAATTACCAAGCCACCCCATAAATACCTTCCATACTGGCAGAGGAAAAGGGTTCACAATTTACCTTTAGAAAAAGTCAGTCTGTTCTGGGAAAATCTTCTTTACTATAGGAATCACAGTTGCCCATACTAAAGTTCAAAGGCAAAGGCACTTTCCTAAAATGAAAGGTCTCTAGCAGTGGGCCTGGCTCATGATTAGCAGAGCTATCTTAGATTATATACTTTCAAGGAAGCACCTCCAGACCCATTGTCTTAAAAGGACACACCCAACTCTACAGGATCAATTCAAGGGGACATGAATCACTAAACAAGCCTGATCTCAACAACCCAACAGAAGCTATAGTCTACCTGTCCTGATTAGCCAGAATACTCTGAGATCTGGCCACGCTAAAGTTTCTTAGCTTTCTGTCTTTATATACTTTGATGTAGGTATGATCTAGCTTCTGCTAAACATCAAGATTTATTAAATATCCAGGTCAATGCATGTTTGTTTTCAAGTGGTGCTTCTAGAGAACAGAAACATGTTCGCCTTATTAAAGTCCATATGAGTGTCATTATGTTATAACTGCAACAGTAATAGTAAATTAATAAAAATGATAACAAAAGCCTAGTTATGTATCAGACACCATGCAAGTGCTCTATATGTACTATCATGTACAGTCCTTATACCAACCTAATAATTCCCATCATATAGATGAGCAAACTGAGGAATTTGAGAGGTTAGGTCACTTGCCCAAAGTTAGACAGCTGGAAGAAGCCAGAACCCAGAAAGGAACTCCTATAGTCTGTCTCCAGAGCCCAGGTTCTTAACCGCTAACCACATGATAAGTAAGACATTGTGGATGATGATGATAATGACGATGACAAAGGTAATGAGATGTTCTGGGCAGCTAGGGAAAATGAGTCACTGGAGGAAAGGATCTGCCAAGAGTAAAAGATAAAATGAAACTGGGAGAGGCCTTCTGATTCCAGCCTGAAGCAATCACTGCCAACCTATGCAACAAGCTGGCACCTAACATGGAAGGAACACTTCATGTTCTCTCTGAACCACAGAGCTTGATCCTGAAGATAAACACCAGGCAGGAAAGTGGGTCTTTGATACAAATCACAGGGCACAGCAATTCTACGAGTCCTCTCCCAGAAGCTACAATGGGAGTGCAATTTAATAAATCAAGGGAGGGTGAGGAAAGCCTTCATATGCTTCCTCTGCACTAAAATGTGATTTGCAATAAATTCTGTTCACTGCTGAGTCGATTCAATTTATATGTCCCTAGAGAATTAGAAAGACTACAGAAACACTTGGATTCCCAGAATTTTTTAATGGGTGACCTTTATGACAATTACCCAGGCCTTATTGATAAAGCACAAAGAAGAATTTCTTTTAACTTATAAATTAAAGACGTAAATAAAGCAATAATTAGACAAAATTATCTCACTTTCCCCTTCTAATACATAGCTGCCTAAGTACTTGGGTCAAAACCTGCACAAAATAAATTCATAGGCAGATTTTTTTAAAACTGCTGCTCCTATCTAAAGTGCACTTGAACTCACCTCTAAGCTCTCTAATTCCCTGATTGTCCTGGAATATCTCAACCTCTCCCCCCTGGTTGTTTCCGTGATATGTCAATGTGGAAACACACAAAACAGAACCACATGAAATACTGCACAAGCCAGTTCTGCAGCATCAGCTATGTCCCTTCTCTCTGTGTGACAAGGGACCGACCACCATGAGGCCTTCCCTTTTTGAACTGTTTCTCTGTCAGTTGTGACTGATTTATAGTAATCTGCAGCTTAGGTTCAAAGTCCAGCTCTACCATTATTGGCTATACATTCTAATCACTTAATATCATTAAATCTCAGTCCTACCTCCTGTAAAACAGGAATACTAATATTTCCTACCTCTTAGGGTAGTTGTGAAACTAAATGAGATAATGGACACAGAGCATTTAACACAGCACAGAATACAAATGTTATGGCCCAATGAGCATTCTATAAAGATTAACTTTCATTACTGACACTGTCACCCTCCTCCTTCCCCTCTGAGATAATCGGCTAAACAT